TCGGTCGCGGTATGATTGTCATTTTCAGTGTTGATTATGTTGATATATTGATCTTCTCAATACACTTTACTTCATGCATGTATGTTTTGTTGTTTTTGAGCAAGAGTGATTTCAAACTCTGGTAAAGTTTCTTTTGGACGTCAGTTTACTTCTGGCTTTACCTGTTAGGATTTTCTGCCTTATGTCACCCATATTGTGCACACAGGAGGCTTCTCCACTCTACTGTTATCACACCCTTGTCTATTCAGCTATATAAACATTACGTGTATATATGCTAATACGTGTATATTTGCTTCTCATGCCTTGGTTAATGGAGCAAAATAAATATCAAAAGTATTACATCCCCCTTTTTATGTAAAATTTAACCAGAACATAAAATAAACTATCGTGGCAAATGATTCATGACTAGAACATGGCATTTAAGATTTTAACTCAATGTCTCAGCATTTAGAATCATTGTGAAATTATTTCAAATTGTTAGATCTCATGCTCCTATTGTCTAAGAGAAGAAAGCCATCTGCTACTATTACTCATGCAGATCTGTCACATGACGAGAGGTCTCACTGAGGGGAATGTGGTTATTCATGTGGCTTGGGCTGGCTATTCACCACCTAGGTGGTCTGCTGCTGACAGGTCACCCCAAAGTAACTTCTGAGGCTGCTGGGCATCACTCACAGATGCAGAAGAGGTTACATCTGTGGCTAACTTTAATACAGATTTCACACCTTCCTTATGCATTAAGCATAGCAAGAAATCAGCCCCTCACTGGATGGAATGCTATTACAAAGGCGAAGGAGAACAGATGCCTTCCACTATTCCCATCAAGAAAGACTATAAGACACATGATGCGCCTCTGATCCATGTACCAGTTGATGAGTTAAGAATATTTCTACAAGGATTAGCCTTCAGGTTATTAGATTAAAGGAGATGGATCAAGTGAACAGGCATATGATGAACATTTGAACCCATAGTAACTGGTTTGCTGCAGGCATTCAGCATCTATTTCCACCTATCTAGGAGTAATACATGAATTACTAGCAGGTACCCCTCAGATGAAGCTGGATCAGGTTGGATTTGTACATAGTGCTCTTGAAGGCATTGTCAAAATGCAGGAGGCATTACTAACCGCTCAAACCTGGATGTCAGCTCTATTCGTCCTCTCGCAAATACATCTTTTTTTTCAAAGTTTGTAGCAAGATGCCGAAACCCTTGAGAAAATCAGTTCTGTCACACCCCTTAACCTCCCTGGAGCTATTTTACAACAATCTGTGGTCTGTCATAGACAAAGTTAGTCGCAAGATCAAGGAACATTTTCAGTCATCAACTATGAGCCTAGTGGCTAGTTCGCAGAAGCATCATGCGGATGCATGCATAGACGATCAGGACCCTCCCAAGAGAAGACACATTAAAGCTGGACAATATTCCTTTCGTGCGCCTCATTGGAAGGACAACAAGCTGGCTAATCAGTTTTTCAATGATAGAGTGGATACTAACTTCTAACAATGCTGCAGGGGTAAAGGCAAGCCCAACACCAGGGGCAGGGGTGTTGGCCAGAACGGACTTCTTACAAGTGTCCCAAGTTCCTCCAAATCCTATCAACCTGGCTTTGCTAACGGACCTTGATTACAGATTTCAGCAAAATGCCAACTCCAGGACGATTCACATCTTACACTGACTATTGGAAGTGAGTGATGTCAGACTGCTGGTTACTTGAAGTTGTAAGTACGGATATACGCTATATTTCCATCAACGTCCAGCACTTGTATCCAAGCCTGTAGGCTGTTCATTCCATCTGGAGGGACACAATCTGGCAGCTGCAGATTTTGCTATATGGACATTACTAGTCAAAAGAGTCATATGTGTATTGGAGGAGTCAGACTACTCACCAGTATTCCTTGTCCTAAGGAAGAACACATCAGACATATTTGTGATAATCAACGTAAAAGTGCTTGACAAGGATTACCTTGTACATCCAGCCAAGTTTCAAATGGAATCAGTAAAGAAACTCAGACAGAACTTCTCTCAGGTTGGGAGATTCGGCTATCAGTCTGGATTAACAGGACACATATCTGCATAATCCCATCTATCCAAGCTGCCGTCACTATGTACGCTTTGTAGTCAACAGTCATAGGTATGAGTTCCTGGTTTTACCTTTCAGCATCTCCATAGCACCATTGCTATTTACCAGAATTATGCAATTTGTCGGCCCAACAGACCTGCCAGTAGTGAATGTCTTGTCTAGGAATTCTTTCATTAAGTACAGAGTGAGGCTGCAGCTGTGTTCCTCACAGTATTGTGTGAACACCTAAAGATCCCTCGACTTGAACATAATAATTCAACCTCTAAGCAATCAGACTACAGGAATTGAAATGGTGGTTCATTCATCAAAACATCATGATGGGCATTCTCCTTATTTTTCCTCCTCCAGAACATCATCTTTACAGGATGACAAGGCACTAGACTGCCAGGAGATGAAGACCTTATACCTAGCATTCAGGACATGGAGTCGAACAGTTACATCAGTCCTCAGTGCTGGTAGCAAAAACACCTCTGTGGTAGCTTACATCCAGAGGCAAGGAATTAACATTTTTGTCCAGATTGTCAGATTCGCAGATTGCCTCTCCCAGAGAAACAAGATAATTCTGACAGAATGGTCCCATCTTGTCTAAACCACAAGCTCTCAATTTACGTCAACCTGGTACCAGACCTCCAAGCTCTACAGTGGGATGGTCTATTCATGAGTTGGGAAGGTCTATTTGCCTATTCATTCCCTCTTGGTCTCTCTTAAACAGAGTAAACAAGAAGGTAGTGGAGACAGATTGTGTCATCATTATGATAGTCCCGTCTTGGCCAAACAGAGCATGGTACCCAAGGTTGTTACCACTTCTCATGGAACAACCTCTCAAGCTGCCAGAACGGCATAATCTCTATGCCAATGAAGATCAGACTATTTTATGACAGTCTTCACTTACATGCCTCGCAACTATCATGTCCAAAATGCATGCTTCCTGATCCTCAAAGTCCTGGTTACCTTCATTCTCAGCGATTTGTGATGCTAGATTGAGAAAGTTCTGACAGTAGCGGAGAGCAGGAGGATTGGGAGGCTTGGGTATAACCGTGCCAGTAGTTGCCAATTTCTTACTTCTTCTAAGACAGGTTAAGAATTGGGGGCTACAGGTCAGCACTAGCTTCTGTTCTACATCATAATAGGCTCTCAATAGGTACTCACCCAGTACTTATTCAGTTTGAGATCTTTCCAACGAGAAGACATCAAAGTTCCAAGTCCATTCCCTACATGATCTCTTCTGTTGTTCTATCAGCTGTTTTATTAGCTCCTTTTGAGCCCATGCATAAAGCTTCTCTTTTGCAAGTTTCCAGGAAAACAACTTTCCTTCTAGCCATGACCACGGCAGCCAGAGTGTTGGAAGTTACATGCCATTGATTTTTCCTCACTCACAATCAGGATTAAAGTATGATAACTCTGAGAACCCTTCCAAAGTTTATCGCTAAGAATCAGTCCGAAGTAGCCGGACCACTTGGACATTGACATTTTTAAACAAAGTTGTGGATGGACCAGACAGATTACTGTTACAGCCACTGAAGGTCATATAATGTACAGGCAGACTATTCTTATTCTGCAAGCCTACCGGTATGTCAATCAGATATCACTGAGGCTACAGTAGCAGGATAACTTAAGACCACCATAACATACAGTTATCAACGAGCTCAACTCAGATGGTTAATTATTTTGTGGTCAAATTGAACATCTTCTGATGTGTTACTTTCATGTTGTGTTTTGTCATTATCTCCTACCAATAAGTTTGTGGAGGTTGACCGTGGGCTACAAAACCCTTTATTTCTCTTGTCATCAGTTACAATTAACAGTGTAACCTCTCACAGTGTTCACGTTAGTAAAATGATTTGTTAGTGAAATGAGACAGTATACCTTTTGTCAGTTGTCCCTTGAATTCCCCTGTTATCTTGTGGGCATTTTCTGAATTCCCATGACACTCTGGTGTGCGGGTTGGTTCCATAACACAACTACATATGTTCCTCTGGTACTGAGTTTGCACTTGCATAGTACTTTGTCTTTGTTCGGATTCTGTCTGCATGATTTCCTGCTTTTTTCCTGTATGAATGTTCCACTACTGTCATACTTTTCCTTGTCATCCTCCCACCCCCCTCCCCAAAGATAAATTCCATACATTCATCCTTCTCTTTCTTTACTTAAAAAAAGTGTAAATTTATTCACAGCACAAGACAACCTAAGAATCTTAAAAGATTGTTTTTTCCATGAAGTTATGAATCTGTTCAGTTAGAAAAGACTGTAAGCAAGTGTCCATTAATAATTGAAGACGGTAAGTTTTCATTCCAAAATGTAAAAGAAATTGGGTGAAAAATTACATGCTGCAGCAGAAATGACTTTTTTGTGTTATAGAAAGTACGAGTTGTGGTGCCAATTACGGAGTAAGGAGCATCAGCTAGCTTGCCAAACACTGCCAAATATCGTACCTTCCTTGCAAAAGTCTATTTGATATAATCTATTTGGTTTGTTGGTATTCCAGACATTTGGCAGTATTTGTCAAGCTAGCAGATGCACCTTACTCTATAAAAATTATTCTCATTTCATCTTATTTTGTGCAATGACCAAGGAGGGAGGGTCAGCAGTATGTCTTTTGTATGTTGTAGTCAGTTCAAACTTTTACATACTCATTTCATTAAAACAAATTCAGAAACAGCTTTGAACGAATTAACATATGCCACCTTGCACAGATACTTCACATCTAAAAGTTATACAAAATATACTAAACATAATGGCAGAACATTTCATATTTGTCATCTAATCTAATAAACAGCAGCACCATTTTAATCAGCAGTCTTGGCAGCATTGTAGTCACAATGCCTTACATGTATGTACTAGGTGTTACTATAGCTATAGTGCAAACAAACAAAAAGTGAAGGAGCAATATCCTTCTGTATTTTGTTGTCTTTTTTTCTAGTGCAAGCATTCCTAGGTGAAAAGGACATTGTCCTGCCTGCCTTTTATAACTGCCAAGCTGAAGAAAAGTGTTTGATGCTGATAAAACGTCCAAAGGACACCTTTAAAAAGGTAAGTCTTCCTGAAATGGTTTGTGCCATTTTCCTTGTTCTTAGATGACAAACCATTTGGTTTAGTGTGAAAAATACAGATAGGGGCCGTTTGTACATGTTATATTATCTTTCAGTGGCATTTTAGAAGCTGTAATTTCACTAACTGTTTACAACTTCTTTATTCTTTCCATGTGACATTTTGGTACCGAGGCTATAGTAGCCTCAGATACCACTGAAACTGAACTTCACGGAACGAGCTATTTATGGCGATTGGACAGAAGGACTGTGCGCAAAAACGCAGCATTAAAAACAGTGCGCCAAAACGCACCCAAACGAACATTCATTGGACATGAAAATGTTGTGTTTCACGTGCAAGAGGAACTTAACATGTTACGCTACTGTGGTTTTGTGTTCAGTAGTGCAAAAGTTGTCAGGTGGCAACATGTGCGTATAGTTTAGTCCCAAGACGGGAATTTAGGATAGAAATGTTGTTGTAAAACAATATAGTAAATTAGTTCAAATATAAAAAGTGAACTTATCAACAATAAGTGGCGAAACATTGTAAATTGTAGAAAATAGTATGATAATTTAATATTGTGGTTTGTGCAAATTCAACGTATTTTGTTTTCTACATGCATGTCCAGTGTATTATAAAAATTTATTCTCATGTACGTGTTTATGTTGCGCTACAACTATCCCTCGTAAGGTTTCAAATTCCCCCTCTGCGCATGCGCACGGGAGCCCCCTTTTTACCCATAAGCCCCGTGTCTCTCCATTCCTCTCCCAAAGCTAGAAGGACAACAACACTCGCTACAAAATTGCCATAATACCTTTATTGTGATCAACTGCCGCTTGCACAGACCACCTCCTGCATGTCAGCAAGGTACCTAAAACACCGACAATGGCACCGAAACGGACGTCAAGGAGAACCAGGGCAGCTGTTCCTGTCGAAAATGTTTCATCCGCAACAAGTGGAACTTCCGACAACAGTCGCCATGTTGGGTCACAGGTCAGAGCGAGTGCGACAGGCAGAGCCGTCCCTTACGAGACAACAGTTGACCTGAGACAGAGGCTGCGCTCCTTAGGTATCACAGTGCCTGCATCGTGGGGAAGAAAGACGATCCTACAACTGTACAAGGAAAACTTTAACGAGAACCACACGGTCAGTGGAGGGGCCAGCGCTGTTCAACATTCCTCCCCCGTTTCGGCATTGTCGTCTGTACATGCTGTTCCTTCCTGTGACGTTACTCCCCAGTATGTAAACAGCGGGAATTCTGACAGCTCTACTAGCATTCCGGCAACAGTGACAACAGCAAGCAACCAGTTATCGTCAGCAAATGTGGAATTGGTGGGAGTCATGCGGGAAATGAGGGACATGATGACATCCCTCACCCAACGTCTATCCTCTGGAGCTCCCAGTGGAGAAAACATAGCCTGGCCTACATCACAGACAAATCCAACGCAATGTGTTCTGTCAGATTCCGTGCCCCATGTCAACTTTGTTGACGAAAGTACAAGGCGTAAAATTCACCAAGGTAAATATATTAATTTGGCTTCTCTGTTGTTACCATGCCAAGAATCCGGGGAATATAGACTTGCTGAAGAGACAGGTTCATGCAAAAACGTGTTAAAACTTGACCCACGTACCACCAGGAATTTGAACTTTGCCGAATTCAGCAGAGCCTTCAAAGTATTCAAGGATATCTTCTGTGAAGCTTGGCCAATAAGGAGAGAGTAATTGGAACAACATGAACGTACAGTAGCGGAACTCCACACTTTATATGGAGGATATGTACATTATGAATACCACAAGAGATTCGCATCTCATGTGGCAGCACTGGCTGAGAGGGGTACGCACATCACCTGGGGCGTTCCGGACACCAGAATTTATACCACTTGTACTTCTGGCCTTCGCTGTAGGTCATGTGACCTGTGCAGTAGTATCAGCCATGACTCCGTGACATGTGCATCCCTGTTGACAAACACCTGCGAACAAGTCAGCCCACGACATAGCTTGGGAAAAAAGAATGTAACCTCCACAAGCACTGCAAACAGCTCCACCGATTCACATGGTCGACAAAAAATATGGTACCAGGGACAGGAGGTTTGCAATAATTTCAATGATAGCGGCTGCATGCGTATTCGCTGCAACTTTCTGCATGTTTGCTCCACTTGTTTCGGGAAGAATCACAACAAATTGGTTTGCAAAAAATACAACACTAATTCCAATAAGGGACATGGAATCAACAAGTGACAATTTGCTGAGGAATTGACACCATTAAATACCAACATCATACAAGAGGAACTAAGGCGTCACCCTGATCAGAACTTTGTAACATACTTGTGTGATGGACTGAGACACGGTTTTCACCCTCTCGTTGCAACAGTGCCCAATTTTACCTGGGAGTGCAAAAACAATCTGAGCGCCCGGAAAGAACCCGATACTGTAACGCACCTTGTCCGTCAAGAATTAGATCGGGGCTACATTATTGGACCATTTTCAGTCCCCCCTTACCATGTGTTTCGGGTCAGCCCCCTGGGCATCGCTGAAGAAAAATACAGCCATAAAAAACGACTGATCCTGGACCTTTCAGCCCCACATGACAACGATGACATTATTAGCATTAATGATACGATAGACAAGGACATGTGCTCTTTAACCTACGTGACAATCGATGATGCCATACGGGAACTGAACCGTGTAGGCAGAGGCGCGAGTATGTGTAAGGTGGATATAAAGACGCCTTCAAGCAAATCCCCATTCACCCAGATTATTGGTCACTGTTCGGATTTAGATGGGACAATCAGTATTACTTCTTCAAGCGCCTAGCGTTTGGATGCCAATTTAGCCCTCGTATCTTTGATTGCATATCACAAGCCATTGTTTGGATCCTCACAAACAATTACAAGGTCCATTTCGTTTTACACTTGCTGGATGACTTCCTCACCATTGATGAACCCAACTACGAAGCTTCTATTACTATGAAAACATTAACAGCCACTTTCAACAAGTTGAAAATTCCGTTGTCCCCACATAAAACCGTTGGACCAGCCTGTGAGATGGAATATCTAGGTATCATTTTAGATTCAAATACCATGACTGCCCGACTACCCCTGGTCAAGTTGGCTAGAATATCGGAGTTAGTGCAAGAGTTCAGTCACAAGAGAAAGTGTACCAACTACTGTCTCTGATAGGACATCTGTGCTATGCCTGCAAAGTGGTTGTGCCAGGAAGATCCTTTGTGTCTTACCTCATTGATCTATCTAAATCTGTTAAAAAACTGCACCACAGAGTGAACATTTCTGCTGAATGTCGTTCTGATCTGCACATGTGGCATGTGTTTCTACAGAAGTGGAATGGCGTTTCTTTCTTTCACGACTCTTCCAGGACACAGGCTTCTGACATGGAACTGTATACCGACGCATCTACTTTATGTTTTGGAGGTTATTTTCTGGGTGCTTGGTTTTCGTCACCTTGGCCATCATCTATGCAAGCCCATTGCCAAAACAACAGTCGATCCATGGCGCTACTTGAACTGTATCCCATTGTAGTAGCAGCCGTTTTATGGGGCAAGCAGTGGTCAGGGAAAAGAATCTTGTTTTATTGTGACAATGAATCAACAGTAAACATAATCAACAAGGGCAGATCAAAATGCAAAAACATTATGCCTCTCATGCGTATGGTTACCTCACTAGCAGCCTCTGACAATTTTGTGATATGTGCCAAACATGTACAAGGCGTGTCAAACCAAATTGCTGATTCTCTGTCTCGGTTACAGATTGCCAGATTTCGGAAACTTGCTCCACATGCGGCACCACAAGCAACACCATGTCCACAACACTCACAGTTGATATGGGTCTGGCAAGACACCTAGACACTCTATGGGATGCTGCAGTGGCGGCCAGAACCAAGACCACCTATGCTTCTGGCTTTCAGTCATACGTTGCCTTTCTCCTGAGATATAGCCTGTACTCTACATGCTCAAGCCTCACATGGGCAGCACAAGGTCTGCCACCAGTTAATTGGCACTTCTGCAACAATATGTGGCCTTTTGTTTCGGTGAGGCAAAACTACAGTATGTCACTGTCAAATCCTATCTCGCGGGTATTCGGTTTACCTATCTGAAGGCAGGTGTACATACAGTGTTCGATTCAGTGTCTACTGGTGGTCTAAATCAGCTACGAACCCTACTTCATGGATACAAGAAGCTACAACAACAGGGTGTGCCCAAACGCTTACCCATAACCTACGATGTTTTGAAGAAGATTGTGTGTACACTACGCAAAGGGGTGCTCGGACCTCTCAATGATCTGGTAATGGAGGTCATGTGCACCACTGCCTTCTTTGGTTTTCTACGATGTGCCGAGTTCACATGTTCTCGTGACTTCGATGCTAGTACCAATTTAAGTCTATCTGATGTCACCATCGACCATAATACAGGAAAGTGTACTCTCGTGCTCAAAGCTTCAAAGACAGATATTTTTAGACAGGGCGTAGTCATTACCTTGTTTGCCAACCAATCTCCCATTTGCCCTTTTGCCAATTTGAACCGCTTAAAGCAAGTAAGACTATAACATGGTGCTAGGGACAGTGATCCTCTGTTTGTTGACTGTGTTGGAAAAGCCATATCCCGTACCATGTTCCTGCAATGGCTCAACATGACCATGAAACATGCACACCTTGACGCAGCTAAATACTCTGGACACTCTTTTCGCATAGGGGCAGCGACCTCCGCTGCAACTGTTCGTATGGAAGATCACCTCATAAAAACACTGGGCAGGTGGCAGTCAGACTGTTTTACACGTTATATTCGGACCCCAGAGGACGTTATTAAGAATGCTCAGTTGTCTTTAATTTCTTGTCCATAATACCCAGTACAGGGACATCTCTGATCAGCTGCGTTGAATTGGTTGTGTTGGTCATTCCTTTTGTACGATGTTGATGTATCTTGTGATCCCTCTCTATATTGTTGCACACAATGTACCTTCCTTACCACACCTAGCACAACTTGGGGGCACTCACTCTTGTAAGGGGGTACCCTTCCAATCACTTGCTTTGGGCTATTTCCACTCATCTAGAGTGTCCTTTTCTCCCCCAAGTCCAAACCAGAGCTCAGGTCGCAGCCCCGGTCCGCAGACCACCGTCCGAGCCGCCACAGCGGCCCCAGGACCCTCGCCTAGCTCTCGGTCGTCCCTCTCCTTGTAAATAAGCTAGCACCAAAGGTCCGCAGACCACCGTCCGAGCCGCCACAGCGGCCCCAGGACCCTCGCCTAGCTCTCGGTCGTCCCTCTCCTTGTAAATAAGCTAGCACCAAAGGTCCGCAGACCACCGTCCGAGCCGCCGCAGCGGCCCCAGGACCCTCGCTTAGCTCTCGGTCGTCCCTCTCCTTGTAAATAAGCTAGCACCAGAGCTCAGGTTGCAGCCCCGGTCCGCAGACCACCGTCCAAGCCTCATAGCGGCTCCAGGACAGCACCTAGCTCTCGATCAGCCCTCCTCTGTGATAAAATCAGTCAGCTCCCAAGTTCGTGCCAAAACCATTATATGTATGTGTTTGTTATAATGTACATTAAATATTTTTGCATTCTACCTCATTGCTTGTTGTGTTTGCACAAAATGATAATTTAATATTGTGGTTTGTGCAAATTCAACGTATTTTGTTTTCTACATGCATGTCCAGTGTATTATAAAAATTTATTCTCATGTACGTGTTTATGTTGCGCTACAACTATCCCTCGTAAGGTTTCAAATTCCCCCTCTGCGCATGCGCACGGGAGCCCCCTTTTTACCCATAAGCCCCGTGTCTCTCCATTCCTCTCCCAAAGCTAGAAGGACAACAACACTCGCTACAAAATTGCCATACCCGCCAGCCCACCCTCTCTTCACCGGCTTAGGTGCTCACCTTTGTACCATTTTGCTGCTGCTTTGTAAATATGTACAGTTTTCAATTTTGCCTTTTATTGTCAGGGGCTGACTGATTGGCCTATCATTGGCCAGGCTATTTCCACTCATCTAGAGTGTCCTTTTCTCCCCCAAGTCCAAACCAGAGCTCAGGTCGCAGCCCCGGTCCGCAGACCACCGTCCGAGCCGCCGCAGCGGCCCCAGGACCCTCGCCTAGCTCTCGGTCGTCCCTCTCCTTGTAAATAAGCTAGCACCAAAGGTCCGCAGACCACCGTCCGAGCCGCCGCAGCGGCCCCAGGACCCTCGCTTAGCTCTCGGTCGTCCCTCTCCTTGTAAATAAGCTAGCACCAGAGCTCAGGTTGCAGCCCCGGTCCGCAGACCACCGTCCAAGCCTCATAGCGGCTCCAGGACAGCACCTAGCTCTCGATCAGCCCTCCTCTGTGATAAAATCAGTCAGCTCCCAAGTTCGTGCCAAAACCATTATATGTATGTGTTTGTTATAATGTACATTAAATATTTTTGCATTCTACCTCATTGCTTGTTGTGTTTGCACAAAGTAACTGAATTAGATACATTAAAAGTCTGAACTTGTTTCAATAGTTTGTTTTGAATTCAGGGGTTATCTTCACTCCATTTAATGGTAGCAGAGCGTGGTTTGTTTAATGCTAAAAGGTTTCAGTTGCTTTTCAACTTGCTAGAATAGGAAACAGGTGAGTTTGAAAATCAATATTGACTTTAGCTTAAAATTATTATTGCAGTAGTTTCTCAAGTTATGTCGGACCAAAAGTCAAACACATCCCAAAAGGGAAGCGAAAAGATGGAGCCTTCAAATGAAGGAAATGAAGAATTAGAACAGCTTATTCGTAGCCTTAAACAGCAAAAAGCAAAAGCTAAATGTGCGTTTACAAAGGGAAAAAATAAGCTGAATACTCTTGTTGAACAAGATATGTCAACACGAAAAGCAGTTAGAATAGGCATTGATGAAGTGAGTTCTCTTCAGGTGGAAGTCATGGATGTTATGGTAAAACTTACGCAGGCTTACACAGATGCTCACGATATAGAGAATGTGAACAAGGTTGATGCTGAAATATCAAAACTTGAATGTGAAACGTCTGAAGTGATAGACATAGCACAGGCGTACTTAGATAATGGTTCAAGTACTAGTTCTCTGTCCAGCCATAGATTGTACAGGTTGTTCAAAAGGGATAAAAAGCCTGACCTTCGTAGAAGTCAAACTGTAGTTGTAGGACAGAGACATGACCTCGATGAAAATGGCAAGGCAACACGTGGTGTGAAAGTAGGTCATACCAAAGATGAACAGAAATATGATCACAAAAATGAGGTGAAACAGTCAGTAGCATATGGAAATGAAGGAAACATGGGGATGGGGGGCTTGTGTAACATTGATGATCAGCATGAGTTTCCTAATCACAATGAAGGTAAGTTTGAAAACACAGAAAAGCAACATATCGCTGTTGGTAATGATATGTGGAAACAACTGAAACGTGTTTCGATACCAGTGTTTTATGGAGATGTCAAGACATATGAGAGTTGGAAGGCCGCCTTCATGACATGCATAGATCAGTCTCCTGCAACTTCCGTATACAAACTCCTCCAGTTGCGACAGTATCTTTCAGGTGAAGCAATAAAAGTGGTTGAAAGTTTAGGCCATAGTGCTGTTGCCTATGATGTTGCATTAGACAGGTTAGAGAGAAAATATGGGGGTAGACGGCGTCAAATAGCCATTCATATGGAAGAATTGAGTAACTTCAAACCTATTCGTGAAGGTGTTGCCAGAGATGTTGAACGGTTTGCAGACATTTTAGATGTTGCAGTTGTCAATCTGAAAGAAAATGATAGATTCGAAGAGTTAGGAAATGGGTTGTTCTACTCTAGCCTACTTAAAAAGATGACAGAGCCAATGGTTGCACGTTATCAGAGGTGGGTTTATGAAACGGAGAGACAGGAGTCTGTTGAAGCTTTGAGAATGTGGGTTATACAGGAAGCAGAGTTCCTTACCATTGCTTCAGAGGCAATTCATGGTGTTGCTAAAAAAGGTAAGTCGGATCAAAAGGTTCACCAATCAGATCAAAAGAAAAGGTTGTCTTGTACCTTTGTTGCCACAAAGACGGAATCCAGTAACACATTCAGCAGTAAAGATAGAAGCTGCAGTCTTTGTAAGGAACATCATGAAATATGGAGATGTAATGTCTTTAGAGGCATGGAGATTTCTGAAAGATGGGATGTTGCTAAGAAAGCAAATCTTTGCTTCAGGTGTCTTGGTAGAAATCATAGTGGTAAAACATGTAAACGTATGGCACAATGTGGCATTAGTGGATGTAAAAGCAGCCACAATAGATTGTTGCACAATGACAAAGGTAATACGCACAATGTGGCATTAGTGGATGTAAAAGCAGCCACAATAGATTGTTGCACAATGACAAAGGTAATACGTCTGATATGCGTGATAAAGGATCAAACAGTTCTACCGGGTTAGGTGAATGTACTGAGACTGGAAATGAAACTAAAGAGATTCAAAAAGGTGAAGGTGAAAGGTCTCATGCCATCTTACCTAGTGTAGTACAAAAGGCTGTAATAGCACTTCGAACTGTACCAGTGATACTTTCAAATGGCAACAAACATGTCACTGTGAATGCATTGTTGGATGATGCTAGCACAAGGTCGTACATCAACGCAGATGTAGCAGCAGAATTTGGTCTGCAAGGGCAGTTACAGAGAATATCTGTGAATGTATTGAATGGGAAAATGGAAACTTTCGAGACTAAACCTGTAGAGTTTAGACTTCAAAGTATTGATGGCGTTGTAAATACAAATGTTACAGCATTGACAACAACAAAGGTCACGGGAAATATGAAGGTAATTGATTGGCAAAGGTACAAAAACAATTGGCGTCATTTGCAAAACATTGAATTTCCAAACACAGGTCAAAGTCCATCTGTTGATCTGTTGATAGGTATAGACCACTTAGATCTGCATTGCTCTTATGAAGAGGTTCAAGGAAACCTAGGAGAGCCAGTTGCAAGGAGGACACCGCTGGGATGGACTTGTATTGGGAATATTGAACATCCGGGGAAAAATCCTCACACTGTGTTTGCAGATGCATACTTCACAAACGAAGTTGATGTTGAACTCAATACCTTGATGCACAAGTTTTGGGATGTAGAAGACTACAGTTCAGAGCTCCTGTTAACGCCTGATGATAGGAATGCTCTTGCGAAAGTGCAGGATACATTGTTGTATGAAAATGAAGGTTATCAAGTTGGCATTCCTTGGAAAGATAATGTACAAAATCTTCCAGACAATTATGACATGGCTCTTCGACGGTTGGTAAACATAGAAAAGAAACTGTGTAAGGACAAAAATACAGCCGTGGCATATGATGACATTATTCAGCAATATTTGCAAAAAGGGTACATCCGCAAAGTACCTACTGATGAGACTACTGAGAGTGGCAAGTGGTACTTGCCTCATTTTCCAATCATAAGGCCAGACAGATTGACTACTAAGGTCAGATTGGTATTTGATGCATCAGCTAAGTATGAAGGAATATCTTTAAATGATGCGATCTACCCAGGTCCAAAACTACAACGTGACCTATTGGATATCTTACTTCGCTTTAGAAAGCATCCAGTTTCACTTGTTTGTGATATTGAGGCAATGTATTTGCAAGTCAAAATACCAGAATGTGACAGATCATACCACAGGTTCCTTTGGAGATCTTTGAAATTGAACGAACCACCTGATGTATACGAATTTAGTCGTGTAGTATTTGGGGTCACATCATCTCCTTTCTTAGCTCAATATGTCACACAGGAACATGCAAAGCGACATGCTGTAGACTTACCACTAGCAGCAGAGACAGTTACAAATTCCACTTACATGGATGACAGCATGGACTCTGTAGAAACTGAAGACCTAGGTGTTGAACTCTTTAATCAGTTGTCCGAGTTATGGTCAAAAGCTGGAATGCATGCTCGGAAGTGGTTATCAAATTCTCATAAGGTCCTAGAAAGCATTCCACCAGAAGACAGGGCATCTGAAGTAGATCTGAGCAAAGGTTACTTACCTTCAATGAAAACATTAGGGTTGTTGTGGATTGCTGAAACAGATGTGTTCATGTTTAAGTCCGAACTACCTGATACTGGTGCAAAACTCACAAAAAGAAATTTCTTGAGCAATGTTGCAAAACTCTTTGATCCATTAGGGTTTGTTGCTCCATTTACCATCACTGCTAAAATACTGCTCCAGGAAACATGGACAGCTGGTCTTGATTGGGACGATGAGATAACTGGAGACCTGAAAAACAAACTATCAAGGTGGTTAGAAGAAGTGAAGGAAATGCATGCTTTAAAAGTACCAAGGTGCTTGTGCTTAGATCACAATTACCTTGTCTCATATCATGCTTTTGTGGACGCATCACAGGAGGCGTATGGGGCCGTTGTGTATGCAGTTCATCCATTTCTTAGGGGCGGATCTAGTAGATTGGTAGTAGCTAAAAGTCGTGTAGCACCGCTAAAAGCTATAAGCATACCTCGATTGGAATTGATGGCTGCCATAGTTGGTCTGAGGTTAGTTTTGACAGTGGCAAATGCACTGAACTTTGAAATCCAAACTGTTAAGTTCTGGTCAGATAGTTTGAATGTCCTATGCTGGATAAAAAGCAACAGTAGATCCTTCAAAGCATTTGTAGCAAACAGGGTTGGCGAAATACAGTCTGTTACTAATCCGTCTCAGTGGAACCACGTTCCATCTGAAATGAACCCAGCTGATATGTTGTCTCGAGGTGTATCTGCATCACAACTGGCAAACAAGAAGTTCTGGTGGTCAGGTCCTGAATTCCTAGAAAAAGAAGAAACAGAATGGCCAGAGCAGAAAAGGTCATGGTACAATAATGACAAAGAAAGTGAAAAAGAAAAAGTGAAAAAGATATCTACTTTACTCGCTGTTAACACTGAACAGTCTTCAAGACTTGAACCAATTAGATACTCAAGTTCGCAAAGACTCACAAGAGTAAATGCATGGATCTATCGATTCCTACACAACTGTTCATCACAAAAGAAGGTGAGAACAACAGGTGAACTGTCATCAGATGAAATCGAAGACGCTGAAATTAGAATACTTACCCAGGTTCAGAAGGATGAATTCTGTGATGAGTACGCTGCGTTGTCAAAAGGAGAAAAAGTATTGTCTCCAAATTCCAAACTCCTTAGTCTTCAACCGATAATTGATGATCAGGGACTCATGAGAGTAAATGGTCGATTAAGACATGCCGAATGTCTTTCTTTTGGAGCAAGATTCCCAATTATCCTGCCACGACATAATTGGGTAACCAAACTCATTGTTAAGCACTATCATGAAGTAGGAAATCATGTCATGGGAACAAACCAGACATTATCAGCCATATTGTCCAAATTCTGGATCATCTCTGGCAGGGAAGAAATCAGACAATGGGAACGTGAGTGTGCTAAGTGCAAACGAGACAAAGCAAAGCCAGCATACCAAGTGATG